TCCAACTGTTTGAATTCGCTTACTGGATTCTTGGACTTTCCAGGAGTTTATCAGTTTCCATTAATGATCGCCAAAACCTGCTTCTTTTCATTTTTAAGGTATTGTTTTTGTTATAATGTACCGATTCAAATTAGTAGTTAATTATTATTCTACTTCTCCTGACATGCTCTTGCACCTCAATTTGGCAGAAAACAGCACACAAACATCCTCACATTATATTATTTCTTTGAAAAAAAAAATTCTAAAGAAGTTGACGCAAACATGGGTTTATACGTGTATGCCTTTGGAATTAAATGGACAGAGTTGTTTTATGCATTTTTGTGATTACAAATAAATGGAGCAGCCGTGACTGAACAAGTATATTTTCTCATTTTATGTAAAATTATTAAAAATATTAGTTGGATTTAACATCACTGATGCACACTTCTGACACAAAGTAATAAATTACTGTCACTGTAACTTTTTAAATCGTAAATCATTGGTAAAGTATCGATGCTGGAGACTTTTTAAATCTTTATAAGGACGAAACGTCCGCTTCTGTCAAGTTCGTTTTGCAATAGTTTTTATTCACTCGCTGGTGAAATGATGTTGTGTGCCATTTGCTTCAGAGAGATGGTAAGGGGCGTTACATTTCCGACGAGTGCTTGCGGTGTTCGGCCAATCACAATGCACTGGGTCAGCTGGCCAATCAGAGCAGACTGCGCTTGTCGGAAGGAGGGACTTTGTAGAAAACGAAGCGTTTGAGAGAGGCGGGGCATAGAGGACCTACAATGATGTACAGTATTTTAAAAATAATGTGTTTTTTGAACATTAAAGCATGTCAACATATTCTGTTACACCAAATACACAAAATAATGAGCTTTAAAAAAGCATCATATGACCCCTTTAAGGGCGGGCTTTTAGAGTAGCGCTGGTCCGACAGTGGAAACGAAGCATTGGCTCGTTGTTAGCCCCGGCTCACACTGGCCAGACAGTGGAAAAGCGACAACCCCTGCGGTAGACCGACTCTGCTTGATTTGTCGTGATGAGAGATGACCCCTCCTGCTACTGTGATTTATATACTATTATTCCACCAGACACTGGCGCTTTGCCTCGGAGTACCAGTTCCAGTATGCATGAAAAAATGCCAGTACGCTAAAGACTAAAATACAGAAGTGCCTGTGCATACCTGCCCACTTCAAGCACGGCTCTATTAGAAGAGAGCTGAACTGGATAACCCCACTGAATCATCAATGAACTGACTTTATCTGTGACTTTATAAATGACTCTTTGTTATTGTTCTCTTTCACTATTCACAAACTATTTGTTGACACTGTAAAGCTGCTTTGACACAGTCAGTACTGTATAAAGCACTATACAAATAAAGGTGACCTGACTTGACTATTATACACACACAAATGAACTGGTGTGGCTGTAACAATATGGCAAATTTGAGCCAGGAGACTCAAATAAGAAGTTGAAATCAGATTGATTAACCTATGATAAAGAATTCCTGTTCATTTTTGTTAAAATGTGATGTTATGTATAACAATATCTTTCTCTGTGTTCAGGATTGAATGTAGTAAAATTAATGCAAAAACCAACCTTTAAAAAAAAATCAGACCTTTACAAAAATATGTTTTTGAGAATGTCTAAATATAAATTCTAATGTATACTTTTACTCCGATACATTTCCCTGAAGCATATTGTAACCAGTATAGTGCTTATAGTGTGCAATAGATACTTTAGTTCCTCTGTGTATCAATATGAATGACAGAATACACAGCAACAGGCCAGATCACCAGGTTCGCTACAGAGGGCAGAAATAAGGTAAAACACTTTAACACAAGGCCCAGACAGACCAGGAAAATTACTTATACCAAAATGTTTGGTTTTACTTTTTTCGGAGAAGTTGAAATGAGTGAAATCACGAAATGAAATAAAAAGCAATGACTTTGTCTCTTTCTTTACCTTCTGAGCTCCTTTGTAGTTATTTTTCTTAGCTATAATCTATATTATATTTGTTCACTTTAATATATAAGTTGATATATATATATACATTAATCTGTCTTATTCATTTAGATTCAATTATAGTTTAGTGTTTGTATAACTTCTGCTAGGTTTTTTCTTTTCTTCTGGAGCTTTAAAAAATTTTTTCCTACTTGGTTAAATTTGAACCATTAACCCACAACATGAAACAGTTGTAACAATCAGGTTACTTTCAACGAATCACACTTTAACTGAAATAATACAGAAAACTCAACAGTGATTCAATGTAGATGAACAGTTCTCAGTCCATGAAGCAAGTGTGGATGTACGTGTGTAAAGAAAAAGTCCTTCAAATCCACTTGATGAATCCAATGAATGCAAAATCGCAGTAGTGCAATTGTCTATGGTGCAATGTTCAATAAGACAACACAGTTCTGTGCAATACTCAGTGTTGGGGTAATTGATGAGAAATACCACAAAGAATGGATGAGTTCCGCTGGTAACAGCAATTAAGGCACAGATGAGGTGATGAATAGCAGAATTTCCTTGCTTAGGGTTCTCTAGTTGGGTGGCTCGCCATCTCAAGATCACAGTTTATTCCAGACTCACGAAAAAACCCTGACCTGTTTATACAAACAGGATCACAAAGATCACAGACAATTTAAATGACTATAATACTCATCAAAACTCGACAAATCTTTCAAGCATTAACTCATTTGGTTGTAAAATGCAATTGAAGCGTTTTTGTCACTCAATATGTAAACCAGGCATTCACATGTGTGATAATGCTGTGCTAGTTAGCATTTTCAGTTCAAAACATTACTTCTTTTTAGTACATTGTTCATTAACACATATACTCTGACCATAAATGCATATAAACTGGCATAAAAACACATCAGAACATCAATATAACACATAAACACTCAATTCCAACAAATTGAACAGTATATTATTTTGAACTCACCAAATTCGGGAGATTTCAATACAAAATTATTAACCGCGTTGGATTCTACGGGGCTCACAATCCGCCATCATCCATTTCTATATCATCAATCATGGGTCGTCACATGTGGTTGCCGCAAGCCCGCCGGCCGCTCCTTCGTCGGGTCTGCCGTGTATGACGCTGTGTGTTTCGTTGTGAAAGCAAAACTACTTTGTTTGGTCTTCCAAAAGAGGACACGACTAGAAATCAGTGGTTAAGTTGTATTTACAACACTGTTCCAGAACACTTCAACCTAAATATTCAGATGTGTGCAGCACATTTTATGGAGGACTGTGTCCTGATCCTGGGAGAGTAGACTACAATGCCGGCTGTTCTGACTCACAGTCTGTAAGTACGTTTTTATATTTAAAGGATTTGCCACTGACGATTCAAACGTGAGTTTTGAGCAGTGTAGAGTAGCACTTGTTGTTTGTCATTTCTCCGATCACAAATGCAGACATGGTTTTATGTTTATGCGGCGCGATGCAACGCAACACGTAAAAAGACAGTATAAGTCATTATAATCAGTAATTATGTCCCCACTGGATGCAACAAATGCCTCGTTTATAATGGGTTTTCATGTTTTTGTCTCGTCGCTCCGGCCGGACAGGTCAGCACAGTATGGTGAGGGGCGTAACATTTCCGTCACACGCTTGAGGTATTCGGCCAATCACAACGCACTGGATAGCTGGCCAATCACAGCACACCTCGCTTTTCAGACCGATGAGCTTTGTAAAAATCGACGTGTTTCAGAAAGGCGGGGCATAGAGGAGAAACAATAATGTACAGTATGTGGAAAATAATGTGTTTTTTTTTTACCTTAAACCGCATAAACACATTTCATTACACCAAATACACCAAATAATGTTATTTTTAGCAACATCATCATATGACCCCTTTAATTCCATTATTTTAGTTTTCACTGCACAGGATTACTTCAATTTATTTTCACAGAAGAATTTTAAATAATTTATGACAATTTGTATTTCATCTCTCTTAGCCAGCTCAATTCTGACCTGTGTTACACAGGTGTAACTGTGTTAATTAATCTGGGTTGTTCTGCAAGTCGTTCAACAAAAGCTGTGTTCAAACCCTGAAGCAAGGATTGAATGATGGATATCATTGGGTTTCCCATCTCTGGGTAAGTCAGTCTTTTTGACTTCTGCTTAGTTCTTTTAGACCTTCTCAGATGACTTTCATTTTCACTTTCATCTTGATCTGTTTCTTCCTCAGGTTCAGCTTCGTTGCGAGACATCAGGTATGGTTTCTTTGACCTGTACTGTATGTGTTTCAGTGTCTTTTCCCTTTTTGCTTCCATCAGGTGTATCCAGTGTTTCCTGCTCTACTTGAGGTAAGTGGTTTCTTTCTTTCAGGGTTTCTTTTACAGGTTCCACGTTACCGGCGGAAGACTCAGCTTCAGGTAAGTATTCGATTTCAGGTGGATCCCTCTTTCTTGCCACACTTCCTGCTTTCACATCTTCCAGAGCATCGTTGGAGACAGGCATCGAGTCTGGTGAGATTTGGTTCGTAGAATTAGAATTAAAAGGAATCTCTGTAGGATTCCTTATGACATTGTACTCCTGGATAAACCTCTCTGAAGTAATGGCTGGCACATCAGAGATTTGGGGTACGTAAGCATCCTCATTTGAACTTGGATAGTTCTCTGGGCATTCCTCGTCTTCTACGCGATCACAAAATGAACATGATAAAAGCGATAATAATAAGTGATACATTGATCATAATGAATTAATTTATCAGGATTAAAAATTAGTCACACAGAAATAAAGCGGTCGGTATGAACCGTTATCCCTAGTGAAAAATAAATACACTTAATTGTAATTAAAATATATTTATTTCAATATATATATATATTAATATTCATCTTTCAGAAAGTACACTGGCTCTTAATTCCATGTTTGAAACTTGTTAAAAGTGATTTTCATAATGCAGAGTCAAACATGAAGATACTGAGGAACAAACAAAGATGGAGTTTATTAAAGAGGAGAGTGAAGACCTGAAGATTGAAGAAACATTCAGAGTCAAACATGAAGATACTGAGGAACAAACAGGTTGGTTTTCATTCTCAAAGCTGAACTCACTCATTTGATCCTTATTAAAATCTCCAGCTCTACAGAAATGAATTATAGGACTGTTGTAATTATAGCAGTTTTATTTCACATGGAGCAGGTCGCCTCGTGTACAGACATGTTGAGATCACATAACCAGACAAATAGGTTACTAACACTGCCTTGAAGTGCAGCTGAGAGGATCCTGCCTTCACACTGGGCATTTGTTATGATTACATCATGCATTTAAGTTTGAACAATAATACGGAATTAGCCTAAAAAAAAAAATCTGTAACATTGTGCTCATTATCTGCTTCTGAAATTAAAACCATTCATTTCTATCACTTATGCAACACTACAGGTGCATCTCAATAAATTAGAATGTCGTGGAAAAGTTCATTTATTTCAGTAATTCAACTCAAATTGTGAAACTCGTGTATTAAATAAATTCAGTGCACACAGACTGAAGTAGTTTAAGTCTTTGGTTCTTTTAATTGTGATGATTTTGGCTCACATTTAACAAAAACCCACCAATTCACTATCTCAACAAATTAGAATATGGTGACATGCCAATCAGCTAATCAACTCAAAACACCTGCAAAGGTTTCCTGAGCCTTCAAAATGGTCTCTCAGTTTGGTTCACTAGGCTACACAATCATGGGGAAGACTGCTGATCTGACAGTTGTCCAGAAGACAATCATTGACACCCTTCACAAGGAGGGTAAGCCACAAACATTCATTGCCAAAGAAGCTGGCTGTTCACAGAGTGCTGTATACAAGCATGTTAACAGAAAGTTGAGTGGAAAGTGAATTGGTGGGTTTTTGTTAAATGTGAGCCAAAATCATCACAATTAAAAGAACCAAAGACTTACAAGGCATCAAGAGCCATCACACACAGACGTGTCAAGGAATTTGGCTACAGTTGTCGTATTCCTCTTGTTAAGCCACTCCTGAACCACAGACAATGTCAGAGGCATCTTACCTGGGGTAAGGAGAAGAAGAACTGGACTGTTGCCCAGTGGTCCAAAGTCCTCTTTTCAGATGAGAGCCAGTTTTGTATTTCATTTGGAAACCAAGGTCCTAGAGTCTGGAGGAAGGGTGGAGAAGCTCATAGCCCAAGTTGCTTGAAGTCCAGTGTTAAGTTTCCACAGTCTGTGATGATTTGGGGTGCAATGTCATCTGCTGGTGTTGGTCCATTGTGTTTTTTGAAAACCAACATCACTGCACCCGTTTACCAAGAAATTTTCTTCATGCACTTCATGCTTCCTTCTGCTGACCAGCTTTTTGAAGATGCTGATTTCATTTTTCCAGCAGGATTTGGCACCTGCCCACACTGTCAAAAGCACCAAAAGTTGGTTAAATTACCATGGTGTTGGTGTGCTTGACTGGCCAGCAAACTCACCAGACCTGAACCCCATAGAGAATCTATGGGGTATTGTCAAGAGGAAAATGAGAAACAAGAGACCAAAAAATGCAGATGAGCTGAAGGCCACTGTCAAAGAAACCTGGGCTTCCATACCACCTCAGCAGTGCCACAAACTGATCACCTCCATGCCACGCCGAATTGAGGCAGTAATTAAAGCAAAAGGAGCCCCTACCAAGTATTAAGTACATGTACAGTAAATGAACATACTTTCCAAAAGGCCAACAATTCACTAAAAATGTTTTTTATTGGTCTTATGAAGAATTCTAATTTGTTGAGATGGTGAATTGGTGGGTTTTTGTTAAATGTGAGCCAAAATCATCACAATTAAAAGAACCAAAAACTTAAACTACTTCAGTCTGTGTGCATTGAATTTATTTAATACACAAGTTGCACAATTTGAGTTGAATTACTGAAATAAATGAACTTTTCCACCACATTCTAATTTATTGAGATGCACCTGTATATGTTGTGCCAATTTTCTGTTTCAATAAGGCAAAGGACAGAAAGCTTTTGAATATTTATTTCTTGCAAGAAATTAGGGCTGTGCAGTTAATAGAAATACAATTTCGATTTCGGCTTCCAGTGATTATGAAAATACAATAATCGAGATAAAACGATTATTGTGCCCCATTCTGCCCACTCCTCCATAAAAGCCCAAACTTAACGTGCAAATCATTGCAAACACACAGAGCTGTAAATGTGAACTGGTGGATTGATAAGAAGATAATCCATATTAAAATTCTAAACAGTAAAATGTATTCTTATGCTATTTAATTAATATAATTTATAGATAATTGTTTAAATTAAGATAATAATTTTGACATCATTTTCTTAAAAAAAGTTTAAAGGCTGAAATATGAAGTGTATTATTTTACACAGTATTATTTATTACAATCATTGCCCTACCTGCTCAAATGGTATTAATTTTTATTTGTGAATAAAATTTATTTTTATTATTATTTATTTTATTAATTTTATATAAATTTCAGCTCAAAAATCTTGCAGAAACCCTGGTCATAGTAGCCTTATTTACAGAAAATATATATTTGATATATTGCTATCTTAAAATTAATCACTCATATAAGGTCATATGATTGGTCATATGGCCCACTAATATTGTGTTAAATAATCCTGATTACAGTATTAACCAAAATAATCGTGATTATGATTTTTGCCATAATCGAGCAGCCCTACAAGAAATGCCCAACAGTCATACAGATTGGATGCAGAGTGCGACAAAAGAAGGAACACTTTAGCTCTATTCGCTTGGGATTAGTGTTATCTGAGGACCTTGTGTGATTTTGAAATTACCCCCCCTGCTGAAACTTTTGTGTCTTCATGGAGAGCGCAGGTCATGGTTTCTTAGCAATGGCAGACGCCTCAGGAGCACAAGCGCCTGAACGCTTTGGAAAAAAGGAGTAAGGGGCGTGCTTAGCATTGTCAGGATGGAAACATGTCAAATGTCTTGAAACAAATCATCTGAACAATGTCTTGATGTGTGGTTGTGACGCCTGTCCGTTAAAATTGTTAGAGAAATAACTCCTGAAGCGGTACGCCGTGCCTATTAATGGAATGGTCTTTCTGAGTTCTCAAACAAACTAAGAGCTACATAAAGTAAAAGACTGCTTCTTAAACCAGAGAAGGCGAACATGTTGGTATTCTTGTGTGAAAAAAACCCCCCCTTGCAAGCACTGTCACCGACAGTAAGCTTAGTTTTTCTTTTTGTTTTCATTTTGAAAAGCTTTTTATCTTTGCTGTTTACCGCACGTTACGTACGCTATGGAGGCTGTCTTTTTTTTGATTCCTCAGTGTTTGCTAAACGTTCTGTAATTTATTAGTCGGTATTTAATACAGCATGTGGTGTATGCCATGCCTCGTCTTAGTCGTTTTTGTTAATAAACGTTTTGTAAGCTAGTTTGTCATTGTATCTGTCATGATCTCCAGCTGGAGTGCCCATGAGCTCCTCTAGAGGGCACTCCATTCTGTACCTTGCCATTCACTCAGGACTCCATTTCCCATAATCCTTTGCCCGGACTCATCATGTGCATCACCTGTCTCTCATCAGATCTTATCATCAGTTCACAGCTGTCTCACATTAGTAGGAACTTATTATTGCACCACACCTGTTTCCTATCAGTGACACTATAAAGGTTGCACTCATTCACACACACATTGCTGATTATTGTTTAGTCTGTTACCTGTTCCGAGTCTCTGTGGTTCCTTGCCTTGCCTTCTTGTTTCTTGACCTTGGACTGTTTATTGGATTGCTCTTTTGTCTCGCCCTGGATTGTACCTGTTTGCTGGTGTTTGACCCTGCCTGTCTTGATCACTCTTGTGAATAAAAGCCGCATTTGGATCCTCAACTCCGTTGTCACGCCTCCCACGTTACAGTATCCTGTTTTATTGTTGTTGTGCTTTTTGATTAAGAATAACAATGAATCCATCTTTTGTTTTAGTCTTAACAAGTGAAAGGTGTGTTGATGTATATAAGCAAAACAGACAATTATAATTTCTTGTAAAATGTGACAAGATCGCAAATTCAAAAGTGAAAGCACCCAAAGCCCAACTTATATCACAGCAAAAGAGGAACTCCCATTCACAAAATTCAAATCATAAGTAATACTACTGATGAAAAAGAACGGGTTCAATGTTAACCTTCGTTTCCATAACTATAAACTATGATAAAAGTTGATCAGCATGCATTGATTAATCCCATGTTATAGCGCAATAAAAAAAAATTGCGACCAAATCATGTGCTCTTGCTACCAACTGAGAAAGTTAGTCGCAAAAGAGTGACCAGTGGGAAGAATGAGTCTGGAGCCCTGATTGGCCTACAGAGTTTAGCTCTAACCCCAATTAAAGCTAATCAATGGCTTTTGAAAACTTCAGAAACTTCTAGCAGATTTATTGAGGCAAGTTGGTGCTAAACTCTGTAGGACAGCGGCTGACCAGGATCAGGTTTGGACACTGGTGTAGGATCTAGCATACATGCATTACATATACATATTTTGATATTGATTACTTTGTGCCATTAAACTGAGGTTAACTTTTTTTGTTTGTTTGTTTTCCACCTTAGACCTAATGGCACTGAAAGAGAAGAGGGAAGTACTGAATGAAACTGAAGAGAAAGATCAGTATGAGAAGCTTCATTATTTCATAACCGGAGAAATGTCTTTTTGTTCCTTACAGTCTGAAAAGACTTGCACACGAAAAAGAGCTCAAAAGACAGGAACTAAGAGTTATTTCACTTGCTTTCAGTGTGGAAAGAGTTTCAGTCAACAAGGAAACCTAAACAGGCACAAGAGAATTCACAATAGAGAGAAGCCTAACAGATCCCCTCAGTGTGGAAAGAGTTCCAATCAAAATGGAAACCTTGATGTCCACAGGAGAATTCACATTATAGAGAGCCTTTTTACCTGCCAACAGTGTGGAAAGAGTTTCACTCGTAAAGAAAGACTTAACAGGCACATGAGAGTTCACACTGGAGAGAAGCCTTTCACCTGCAAACAGTGTGGAAAAAGTTTCAATCAACAAGGAAACCTTGACAGGCACATGGAAATTCACAATCGAGAGAAGCCTAACAGATCCCCTCAGTGTGGAAAGAGCTCCAATCATAATGGAAACCTTGACGTCCACCGGCGAATTCACACTATGGAGAGCCTTATCCCCTGCCAACAGTGTGGAAGCAGTTTTACTAATAAAGGAAGCCTTACCAAGCACATGAGAGTTCACAGTGGAGAGAAGCCTTACAGATCCCCTCAGTGTGGAAAGAGCTCCAATCAAAATCAAAACCTTGATGTCCACAGGCGAATTCACACTATGGAGAGCCTTTTTCCCTGCCAACAGTGTGGAAAGAGTTTCACTCATAAAGGAAGCCTTAACAAGCACATGAGAGTTCACAGTAGAGAGAAGCCTTACACATGCCCTCAGTGTGGACAGAGTTTCAGACAACCTGGAAACCTTAAAGTCCACATGAGAGTTCACACTGGAGAGAAGCCTTTCACCTGCCAATGTTGTGGGAAAAGTTTCAGTAGACATAAAACTCTTGAAGTCCACATGAGACTTCATACTGGAGAGAAGCCTTTCACCTGCACACAGTGTGGAAAGAATTTCAGTCAACGTGTACATCTTGAAGCTCACATGAGAATTCACAGTGGAGAGAAGCCTTTCACCTGCAAACAGTGTGGAAAGACTTTCAGTCAACCTGGAAACCTTAATTACCATATGAGAGTTCACACTGGAGAGAAGCCCTTCACCTGCCATTGGTGTGGAAAGAGTTTCAGTCAACAAGGAAACCTTAATTACCACATGAGAGTTCACACTGAAAAGAAACCTACTGGAAAGAAATAAAACCTTTACGTCCTCAGGCGAATTCACACTATGGAGAGATTTTTTTTTTTTTTTACCTGCCAACAGTGTGGAAAGGGTCTCACTCATATAAAGGAAGTCTTAACAAGAACATGAGAACTCACACTGGAGAGAAGCCTTAGATGTGTCCTCAGTGTGGAAAGAGTTTCAGTCAAAAATAATACCTTGAAGTCCATATGAAAATTCACACTGGAGAGAAGTTGCAACCAAAAGTACCACATGAAGATTTACTCATGAGGGACCTGTTTAAATGTCATCAGTGTGGAATGAGATGTACAGACAAGAAAAGCCTAGGAATCATGCAGGGACATCGGAGAGAAGCCTATCATGTGCCATCACTGTGGAAAGACTTTCAGAAACAAAGCAAATCTTGAGTTTCACATAAACTAGATGATGCATACCATCTTCCGTAGAGCTGCTTTACAGCTGAATCGCATCTTGAAACTTTGACATTGGCACCTAACTGAATTCAGTCAACACTGAACTGATTCTAATTGAATAACTACATTCGTTATCTTTTGTAGAACTATTTACAGCTGAATTCAGTTCAAACTGATGAACAGTTATTGATCTGATCTGACTTAAGCTGAATAATGACAATCTTGTCTTTTAGACCTGCTTTACAGCAGAATTTGATTTTCCTCCTGTAGCGTTGGGCTAATCAAACACAATAATTTGTTATATTTAACAAATAATCCCTAACACCCCTCACCCAACCAACAAGCCAACTATGAGGGTTTATGGACCCTTCCTACGAAATGTAATTAACACCTCAAAAAGGCAGAACAGGCCTCTGGTTCCATGGCAACCAATGACAAATCATCTGATAACACTGGTTTTATTGCTCAAAGGAATGTGGGCAGAGCAACTCTCACTACATTTCCCCATAGGAAAGGCTCATAATTCCCATACAGAATGACTCTTCTTTAACCCTCTGTCTGTCTAATATTTTCTTGATGACCACGAAAAGAACTAAAAATACTCTGTCATTTTTTATTGTACAGATAATTATAAAGTATTGTTTGCAAAGGGTCTATTTTTATTTGTGTATAGTCATAATAACAACAAAACAATGTGCTTTTGTAAAATAAAGAAAATAAACAGGGTGCACTCTCTGCCGTCTCGGTCTCTGTCACCTCTCTTCACAGACACGTAATCAGAATCTCAGCGAATACTTGCCTCAAAGACATGAGAAATATATGTATAGAAAGCTTGAAATGTCTACTTCCAAAACAAATATTTTCTGATAAAGTAATCCGTATGAAACCAACACGATGTCTAGTTTTTCCCGTCTCAACTTATCTCTAATGCGGTCATGCATTACGAGTCACGATTTCATACGAGTCACGAGCCGATTGCGCTTTTCGAATTCTAAACATCCACGAAATACATTATAGAAAATGCTGATCCATGTGTGAGATGATAATATAAAATGTAAAAAATATATATAATATAATAAATTAAACATTACCTTGCCATAATATTGTTTTATAATTTATAAAGATAACTGTTATATATGCCAATAAATTACATATAATAACTAATAAAGTTTTTGAAAATAAGCATACATAGATACAGGTCCTTGAAAGTGCTTGAATTTATTTTGTGCAAGAAGTTTTCTGGAAAAAAATCCATATTATTCCCTCCAGTCCGCTAATGTGTTATTTCGCTAACACTTCGTGGCCTATGCATATAATAAGCTTGCTTGATTTACCTTAGTTACGTGCATTTAAGGGTTACGTTAAGTTTTTCCCCGAATGAGGTACTTTGTGTTGTACGGTTGTGATGATGTTCACGCGCGCACGAAACTACTACGATGGTACCTCAACGTTTCTCACACGCACACACACACACACACACACACACAGACACACACACCGTTAAACATTGCAAAAAGTAGGCTGAAACCGCTGAAACGTGATGCCTGGAAAATGCAAGTTTCAAGATATTTGCCTCACCAAAGATGATTACAAAAAATTGCTTGCCAGAGATGAAAACTGTAACATTGTATCTTACATTAGATGTAATCTACCCCAACCCTCCACCCACCAACCCACCCACCCCATTCCATTTTCTATGTTCAAAATTACATTTAAAACATTAATCTCATAACATTAATGCAGTTGTAATTGAGCAATGTAAATTAATTTGTTTGATAACAGCCTTAGTGTAAATGTATTCTATTGATCAATTGTAAGAATTTGACATGAAATATGATGCATACATTTGATAAGGTTTAAAAAATGGCCTTTATAAAAGTAAATAACATCCTGAGGTTAATATAAAAAATATGCAGATAAATGTAAAAGCCGGCAGAACACAGATAAAATATTGCTTCGGAATAAATTGTTTACACCACAAAAAAATCTTTTGTGGGGATATTATGTATGGGATATTTTCTGCTGAGATGACAAGTTTGCTGTATATAATATATATATATATATTTTTTACATTTAACAAATTAAACATTATATTATACGTATGTAAAATAATGTGTGATTTCCATCAGAGGTTTGGTCTTAAATTTCATATAAGTGGTATTAAAAAGGTCTTAAATCTAACTTGTTCATATCTGTAGACACCCTGATTAAGTCCTTGAATTTGAGGATATTGGACCTGGAAAGTCCTTGAAAGGTCCTTGAATTTGAAGTTAACCAAGGTGTGAGAACACTGTTGTAGTGGACAGCACATTCAAGCACATTCCATTGCTACATTTTGATTGGATCTTGGTGGACTAACATAAGCAAACTGTCCAACGCCATCAGATAAAGATGCCAGGACAACTAGTCCACAATTACGTTTTCATTTGTACTGCAAGTGAACTTATAAGTATTTTAAGAGTTTACTATTGTAATACTTGTAGTAAATGATTATTTTGTGAAAGTACACTTTGATGTATACGCTCAATAAACTACTAGTTTACTAGTTTTATACTGCAATTATACTTGCAAGTGTACTTAGTGTACTCTTAGTTTACTAGTAGTTTGCTAGACTTATACCGCAAGTGTACATGCAAGTGTTCTGTTAGTGTACTCTTAGTTTACTAGTAGTTTACTACTGTGCTGCAAGTATACATGCAAGTATTCTATTAATATATTCTTAATTAACTAGTAGTTTACTAGACTTATACTGCAAGTGTACCCCGGGTCCTTCCGTTGTTTTGTCCTGGCCCGCCATCCCTCCCCCTGGTCCGCCTCTATTCCACCTCCCTCCTGAACTTTTGTGTGTCTCTTGGAGCGTCTGGTATCCGCTCCGTAGAGGGGGGGTAATGTCACAGTGTTGGTTGTGGTGCCCTGGACTGGCCACTTGAGGGCGCTCTGTCTGTTCTATGTTGTATGTGTTAAACTCCATTTCCCATAGTCCCCTGCTTTAATTCTGTTCTGATCAGTAGCACCTGTTATCATTTACTCATTATCCCTGCTATATATATCATGCTCACTCTGTCTGTCATTGGGTCTGGATTGTATTGTCTTCTAGTTGGTATTGTCGGTGTCAGGTTTTTGGATAACCTTTTGCAACGTTTTGTTCTGTTTTGTCCTGTTATTATTTGCAATAAACTGCACATGGAACTTACCCTGTTTCCTCCTGGCATTCCGTGACATATACCGCAAGTGTACATGCAAGTGTTCTGTTAGTGTACTCATAGTTTACTAGACTTATACCGCAAATGTACGTGCAAGTGTTCTGTTAGTGTACTCTTAGTTTACTAGTAGTTTACTAGACTTATACTGCAAGTGTTCTGTTAGTGTACTCTTAGTTTACTAGACTTATACCGCAAGTGTACGTGCAAGTGTTCTGTTAGTGTACTCTTAGTTTACTAGTAGTTTACTACTGTGCTGCAAGTATACATGCAAGTATTCTATTAATATATTCTTAATTAACTAGTAGTTTACTAGACTTATACTGCAAGTGTACGTGCAAGTGTTCTGTTAGTGTACTCTTAGTTTACTAGTAGTACTAATTATTTATTATTTTTGCACTTTAAGTACACTACAATATTCCTATGTACATATTAATTTTTATACTTGACCTTTTCATTGTACTTTGAATTTAAAGTTAAATCTTATGGATGCTATCAGTGGACTACACAAAAAATCACATACTCAGAATTACAAACATAAATTTTCTTTATAAATCCATTATTTCAAACAAATCTTTTGTACTGGATTCCACATAACATAAAATAAAAATGACAGTCAAATTTACACCCCAGTTCAAAAAACTGTAAACACAATGTATAAAGGGGTCATGATGCGATTTCAAGTTTTGCTTTCTCTTTGGAGTGTTACAAGCTGATTGTGCATAGATAAGATCCCTGAAGTTGCAAAGACTAAAGTCTCAAAACCAAAGAGATATTCTTTATCAAAGTTAAGACTCTGCCACGCCCCCTAAAACGGCTCGTTCTAACACGCCCCCACATATCTACCTCACTATGTGGAAATATTAGCATAATGCGCCCAAATGTGCACGCAAAGAAAGGCGGCGTGGTTTCAGTAACCGCAGTTAGTGTTGAAGCAGCATGTCAGGGAGACGCTGTGTGGTTCTAGGCGAAAGCACTTTATTTGGCCTTCCGGAAGTAGATGCATTTAGGAATCTTTAAGATTACTTACAACAGAACAGCAATGCATTTTATGGACGACCGTTTCGTGAACCTAGGAGAGGAGGTCATTCTGACTTTGCTATAACAATCTGGCGCTTCTGAATCAGCTACTGTTTTGTTATTAGTTTGAGTATTTGCTATTGACTGTTCAAATGCGGAGTTTTGCGCATCGTGTGTGTGTGTGTGAGAGAGAGATACAGGGTCACATCACAGTGGAGTCAGCTGTCTGTGTGTGAGTCGAGAGCGCAGGTTGGACTTGTTAATGTTCATTACAGAAAATGCCTGCTCACAGAGATATGTAGTCCCGAACATGCTGAGAATTTTGGATGCAAAACCTGTCATTTTGGAGAACGTCGGTCCGAGGTTTTGGTCAAATAAATCCACAGTTACTGTTGTGAATTTGTCTTTCAAAGGTGTGTTGCACTGCAGTTCGATTAGCTCCATTTGGAGTTCCTCCGGTACATCTGTTGCGCTCACAGTAAACGGTGAACGGAAGAGAGAGAATTCCTTCTCAAGTTCATTGAAGACCTGGAAGCGATTCTGAAACTCATTCTGCAGACCAACAACTTTTTCTTTGTATCTGTCCATGTTGTCTTTGTCGTGAGCGGTGTGCACAGATTTTAAAGAGGGAAAATGAGCTGGGTTACCTTGGGAAAGCTGTGTCGCCCACAGATCTAATTTCATCTCAAATGCACGAATGCAGTCGTAATATTCAGTTACGACTTTGTTGCGGCCTTGTATCTTAGTATTGAGCACATTTAAGTGCTCTGTTACGTCCACCATAAAAGCAAGATCACGAACCCACTCGGGGTCATCCAGCTCAGTCACCGGCTTTCCCTTGTCTTTCATGAACTGATTGATTTCTGAGCACCGTTCAAAGAAACGTTTGAGCACGGCTCCCCTGCTCAACCAGCGAACTTCGGTGTGGTAGGGTAGACTGTGAGGAATATCTTTTTCAGATAAAAAGGCCTCAAATTGCCGATGGTTGAGCCCCTTTGCTCTGATGAAATGAACAGTTTTTATTGCCACATTCATAATATTGTTCATCTTTAGGGTTTTGCTACACAATGCTTCCTGGTGTAAAATACAATGAAAATTCCAGAATTTTTGGGTTGGGTTCTCTTTTTGAATTTTTTCTTTTAATTTTGTCACAACGCCTGCCCATTTCCCGACCATGGATGGAGCGCCATCTGTTGCCACACTAACAGCGTGACTCCAGTCAACCTCCAGTCTATCCAGAGCACCAATGAGGCTGGAGTAAATGTCGTTGGAAGTAGTCGTGTCTGTCATTGGAACCAGCTCAACAAATTCTTCAGTGATGTTCAAAGATTCATCAACTCCACGAATAAATAACC